TCCCCCGACTAATTTAATTTATATTTTTTTTTTATGGCATGGCTTGCACCCCTACCATCATATTTTGGGGTTTCATTCGTACGGATAAAATATTTTATTCTGTATAGATCTTCAATATATCGTTCGATATAAACCGCGATACACAGGAATAAGACGGGATTTTTTGATATTCATCCGGATAAAAGGTAGGAATTTTAAGAAAAGGGGAACAATCAGTGTGAAACGGGGTGGCCAAGAATTAAACAGGATAAATAGTGATAAAACAGGGAGATGTCAATCGATCTTCGATATGTACTTTAATATAAAATATGATAGACATCGATGAAACGGGATGGGGAAAGACATTGATATTAATTGAGTTAAATGGAGGAAGTTTGAGAAAAGGAGAATAATCAGTGTGTAACCGTAAAGATAAGGATAAAACAGGATAGGTAGGGTTACCCCAACCTTCGATAAATCGATCTTCGTTTATCGATCTTTGATGAATTGTCTTTGATAATTGATGGACTTAAATTCCACAGTCAGAGGGAAGGAATGCAAGGACGACTTCGTAAGGAGTTTTCGTACGCTCTCTTTGCGCTAAAATGCCAGGATTCTCACCGCTTGAAGCCTTACGGACCTAAGGGTGGAATTTATGTCTATCAGTGACATTCCACAGACCGGCGCCGGCTCCCTGCATTCCTTCCCCCTGACTGTGGAATTTATGTCTAACGCCGACGTTCCGTAAGGAGTCGTCGTGCGCTGTTTCTGCGTAAAAATGCCAGGATTCTCTTCGCTTGAAGCCTTACGGACCGAAGGGTGGAATTTATGTCTATCGGTGACATTCCACAGTTCGGCGCTGGCTCCCTGCATTCCTTCCCCCTAAGTGTGCAATTTAAGTCTAACGCCGACGTTCCGTAAGGAGTTATCGTACGATGTTTCTGTGTTAAATGACAGGATTCTCTTCGCTTGAAGCCTTACGGACCCAAGGGTGGAATTTATGTCTATCAGTGACATTCCACAGTCCGGCGCCGGCTCCCTGCATTCCTTCCCCCTGACTCTGGAATTTATGTCTATTGCCGACGTTCCGTAAGGAGTCGTCGTGCGCTGTTTCTGCGCTTAAATGCCAGGATACTCAGCGCTTGAAGCCTTACGGACCCAAGGGTGGAATTTATGTCTATCAGTGAAATTCCACAGTCCGGCGCTGGCTGCCTGCATTCCTTCCCTCTGAGTGTGGAATTTATGTCTATCGCCGACGTTCCGTAAGGAGTCATCGTACGATGTTTCTGCGTTAAATGACAGGATTCTCTTCGCTTGAAGCCTTACGGACCCAAGGGTGGAATTTATGTCTATCAGTGACATACCACAGTCCGGCGCCGGCTCCCTGCATTCATTCCCTCTGACTGTGGAATTTATATCTATCGGCGCCGTTCCGTAAGGAGTTATCGTACGATGTTTCTGCGTTAAATGACAGGATTCCCAGCGCTTGAAGCCTTACGGACCCAAGGGTGGAATTTATGTCTATCACTGACATTCCACAGTTCGGCGCTGGCTCCCTGCATTCCTTCCCTCTGAGTGTGGAATTTATGTCTATTGCCGACGTTCCGTAAGGAGTCCTCGTACGCTGTTTCTGCCCTAAAATGCCAGGATTCTCACCGCTTGAAGCCTTACGGACCCGAGGGTGGAATTTATGTCTATCATTGACATTCCACAGTCCGGCGCCGGCTCCCTGCATTCCTTCCCCCTGACTGTGGAATTTATGTCTATCGCTGACAATCCGAAAGGAGTCGTCGTACGCTGTTTCTACGCTAAAATGCCAGGATTCTCACTGCTTGAAGCCTTACGGACCCGGGGGTGGAATTTATGTCTATCAGCGACATTCCACAGTCCGGCACCGGCCCCCTGCATTCCTACCCTCTGACCGTGGAATTTATGTCTATTGCCGACGTTCCGTAAGGAGTCCTCGTACGCTGTTTCTGCGCTAAAATGCCAGGATTCTCACCGCTTGAAGCCTTACGAACCCGGGTATGGAATTTATGTCTATCAGTGACATTCCAAAGTCCGGCGCCAGCTCCCTGCATTCCTTCCCTCTGAGTGTGGAATTTATGTCTATCGCCGACGTTCCGTAAGGAGTCATCGTACTATGTTTCTGTGTTAAATGACAGGATTCTCTTCGCTTGAAGCCTTACGGACCCGAGGGTGGAATTTATGTCTAACAGTGACATTCCACAGTCCGGCGCCGGCTCCCTGCATTCCTTCCCCCTGACTCTGGAATTTATGTCTATTGCCGACGTTCCGTAAGGAGTCGTCGTGCGCTGTTTCTGCGCTTAAATGCCAGGATTCTCAGCGCTTGAAGCCTTACGAACCCAAGGGTAGAATTTATGTCTATCAGTGACATTCCACAGTCCGGCGCTGGCTCCCTGCATTCCTTCCCTCTGAGTGTGGAATTTATGTCTATCGCCGACGTTCCGTAAGGAGTCATCGTATGATGTTTCTGCGTTAAATGACAGGATTCTCACTGCTTGACGCCTTACGGACCCGGGGGTGGAATTTATGTCTATCAATGACATTCCACAGTCCGGCGCCGGCTCCCTGCATTCCTTCCCTCTGACTATGGAATTTATGTCTATCGCCGACGTTCCGTAAGGATTCATCGTACGCTGTTTCTGCGCAAAAATGCCAGGATTCTCTTCGCTTGAAGCCTTACGGACCCAAGGGTGGAATTTATGTCTATCGGTGACATTCCACAGTTCCGCGCTGGCTCCCTGCATTCCTTCCCTCTGAGTGTGGAATTTATGTCTATCGCCGACGTTCCGTAAGGATTCATCGTACGCTGTTTCTGCGCAAAAATGCCAGGATTCTCTTCGCTTGAAGCCTTACGGACCCAAGGGTGGAATTTATGTCTATCAGTGACATTCCACAGTCCGGCACCGGCTCCCTGCATTCATTCCCCCTGACTGTGGAATTTATATCTATCGCCGCCGTTCCGTAAGGATTCATCGTGCGCTGTTTCTGCGCAAAAATGCCAGGAATCTCTTCGCTTGAAGCCTTACGGACCCAAAGGTGGAATTTATGTCTATCAGTGACATTCCACAGTCCGGCGCCGGCTCCCTGCATTCCTTCCCTCTGACTTTGGAATTTGTGTCTAACGCCGACGTTCCGTAAGGAGTCCTCGTACGCTGTTTCTGCGCTAAAATGCCAGGATTCTCTTCGCTTGAAGC